AACTAATGTGTTGTGTTATATTAGCTGTACAATTTACCACATATGGTGTTCTTAGTTTCCATACCTCCTGTGTTTTACGAGCGACTTATCAAGTCTTGGCAAACGGCATAAAACACGATTAAACGTGATAGTATATAAAACCATGCTCGTATCTACAACCTATAGAAATGCAAAACGGCGTCAGTTTAGACGTAATTCTGTCCTCCTGCTTACCGCATCATTTATGAGAAAACATTTCATAACATTAACACAACATATTCGAGGTGGTTTTAAATAGCATATCCGTATTTATTTATTTCTCCAAGTTATGTTTTTGTGTGCACTGAGGAGTCTCAAACAGGCGTTTGTTTAATCATTTTAAGATTGGCTTTAATCAATGTTTGAAAATGAATTCTTCATATTTGATAAATGAGAGGTAACATTTTATTTATGGTATTATTTCCACATATTTCTCTCCATTCTTCCTTCTGCCAACGGTGTCGCAGTTTCTCGTCTCTCCCGTTTGTGTGCTTAGTGCGTACCATGGGTTAGAGTTTGCGTGGAGGACAGCACATTTTCCCGTCAAGTTAGTATTTTATAAATCGCAAACATTGCGTAGAAACTGGCGTACGCCATTTTTTGAGCGTATATCCCTTTATAAATGAGGCCCCTGAGCCTGTTTTTCAGGTTTCAGGCTCGAAAATGACATTCCCAGAACAAATTACCATATCTTCCCTTCTAAAAGGGTTAAATTAATAATCTTTTTTCTCAAAGCAATGATAAACCTGTGAGTTGGATGTAGAAAAGTCAGAATCAATATAGATTTTTTTCAGATTAAATTAGTAAATTCAGATTGAACATAGTAAAAACATCTAAATTATAGTTTCTGTAAAAAAAAAAACCATTACTTATAGTGAAAACCACCCTTGAATGATGGGATAGTAGACTAAAAGCTTTAGGAATCCAAACTATAACATAAAATAAGTACCCTGTATCAAGATCGATGCAAAACAAGTGAAATTTGACCTTTTTAGAGAGGTTTAGCAACAAAAAAACAACCACTCGGGTGTATATGCCATATCTCTGGAACCCATTGGTCGATTTTGGTGATTGACACCTCTTTTGAACCGTTAGAGCCAATAGAATCGAGGGAAAGTTCCTTAATCCATCTAAAAATGTCCATTGAGGAGTGAGAGTGATGCGCACGCAGCTTGCCCAAAACCGGAAGTTCCCTTACACTCTATAGAAAAATACGTTTAATTCCATAAATATGATGATGGATTATCAGTAATCATTTCAAAGGGACACAGAGACATTGGATTAACCTTCAGCAGTGTTTATATGCGTTTTAATGCCATTGAACACAACTTTTGATCAGAAAACAGCAAAAGTAAGACATGTTTGCCGTTTTGGCCCCGTAAAGTTGTGTGTTGTCTTTGTTTTGGTCACAAAGTGACACGTATACCATTGGAATCTGTGGAATCTCAGCTTTCATATGATATCTAGTTTGTGCAGATTGCATGAAGTATAAAATATTGCTACCGTGAGTAATGTGCTAAGTGCGTTAGCACCATTTCGCTTAGTGCTAATTCAGAGGCTTGGCGTTAGACTTGTGTTTTGTTTAGGTAAAAATGGTTCATATCGTCAGTTAGCTGAGTTTCTTCCCGTTAAGTGGTTATGACACATTAATAGGTTGTTAAATGTTAAGAAGCCCCGAGACACAGTTTCGTGAAAATTGTTGTGTTTGTGGGGGCTATCGGGCTTAACAGGTAAAGGTAAGAGAACCAAGGATTAGGGTTAGGGTTAGGCATTCAGTTGAGGGGACTGGGGTCCCTTCTTGTCTTTAAGTATGATTGCCAAACCTGACATTAACCAATTTATTTTTAATTGCCTTAAAAAGATGATTGCACCAAATTATCTTGTATGGGTCTTTTTTGAATGCATTGACAACCAACTTATTTCCTGTCGTAAGAGTAGTTTGATCTTGAACAAGTTGTCGTGCTATTCAGAGTTTATGTAAAGCACTTATATACGGTATATTTAAAGCATGGTTTAACTGCTCTCTGTTCTTTTATTGCAGAAATTTCGAATGACACATCCTGTGAGATCCTGCACAGAGCTTACGTAAAATGGTGCGACGAGCTGAGCGTCTCCTCGGACAGCAACTCTGACTCTTAAACTGCCCACAGCACGACTGCATTAGTTCAATTGTTTTTTTGGAGAAAATGTTTACATTTTGTAGGGAGTTGTATATACTTCTGGTGTTGTACTCTTTTTCTCTACTTTTGTTCAAATGTTTGGGAAAAATAAACTACAGTTGATAGCATTCACCTATGCTATTTTCACATTAAAAGATCCACTTGTCGGGGAAACCATATTAGCACTGCTTGAAGCTATTTCTATATGCTCCTGTCCAGCATGTGTTCCTACTTTTCCATTTCTGTAAACACTGATTATACATGATGCTTTTGACCTTGTCAATTAATTAGAAAGGTATGTAAAACACAATATTAGAAGAGGGATATGTTTAAATAGTTTTGGTTTGAGAGCATAGCACTATATAGCCAGTAATGTGCCTACTCGTATTATGTCAAATATACTTGTTAGCATGCCCCATTAAAGATTAGTTTGACCATTTATCAAACTGTGTGTGTGTCTTTCGGTAGTATACCAAACTAACAAATGACTTCCATGTACATTCACGTCCATTGTTGAACGAAAAGGCAAGGCAACTGCTCAAAATGTTGAATTAGGCTTACTTAACACTTAGTTAAACGAGTTGGATACGTCTTTCATTAAGCTGAGCAAACATTTTCAACAAAACAAACATGCTAATGTATAACAAATTAGGAACACTTTCCTTGTAAAAACAATTCCACACAACACTCATTTATGATTAAAGAACTTTTTTTTAAGAGGCACTGACATTTTTAATTACTGATTTTAGTACTTATTATTTTGGATTTTAATTTTCCCCCAGAGCTTTACAGTATCTATGTGTCCAGGGTCCTATGTTCTGCTACTTAATATCCTTTTAATGTGACTTTCTAAAGGGTTTTATGATCTCAGCAATATGTTGAAATCATCATAGTCATTCTCTTTTAAATCAATACTTCAAATATGTGTCAAGACAGTTTTTTCTTAACTTTAGACATTAATATCTCCAAAGTGACTGAAAAGAACAGAGAAATGGAACGCATAATATGTGTATATTTCTTTAAGAATACATTTGAATATTATTTCACAATATTTAAAGGCAAAGTTTAAATACATGCAAGGTAACAAAGACAATTTACAGCGTGTACAGTTGGAAGTGTGTACAGTTGGAAGTGTTTTTATCTGGCACAGTCTCACTGCATGCCGCCCCAAAAAGTTGATATAAATATTCATGGACAAATATCAATGCATCTATCACACATAAGATACCCCACATAATGTTGGCAATATATACAACATATCAGCTTTGTAAATGTTTTATTTATTTACATCATTAGATAGAGATAACAAATATTAACAAAAATGTGTTTTTTCCAAACTGCCCCATTCTAAATTACTATCACTCACTGCTGCAATCATAACAAATAAAGTATTATGATGTATCGTGTCACAACTTCTTAAGGTTACGATGTATAGTCTGTGGTCATTTGTAAACTTTTTTTTCCCATTCATTTCTTTATGCATATTTGTAGCCTGAGCCAAAGTGTACCCAATATTGTCAGACTAATGTGTTATTGTCTTATATTTATCATTAACATTTTTCGATAAATCAATATAGAATGAAGAAGATGAACAACGTGTTTGTGTGCAATTATAAATAAAAGGTTTCTCAGAGAAATCCCCCAAAGTACGTGTATGTCAAAAAACGAAATCGTTCACACTGAATAAAAGAAAAAAAATGAAATAAATAAATTGTGATAATAATAACATCAATCTTTTCATGTGGTCAACTTTTCTTTAGAACACATGGCTAAAACAATATATAAAAAATAGTAATATGCAGTAAAAGGCAATACTTGATTCTTTAAAACTCAACTAACTTGTGTGCATTTTTTTCTTACGTCATCAGAAGTTTAAAGTACTGTTTTGCATTAAACTTAACTTCAGACATTTTTACATATGTATGTTATCTCTTTTGTGATGGACAGTTCAATACAGAGTATATTCATGACAAATATGAAAACCCTAGTTTGAAAGTCATTAGGTTGACCAGTCTAACACTGATTGTCTTCACATTTGTCACCTTGTATATTTGCCAACTATCCATCTGTACAGCATAAAGATCAGAACAATGTAAAAATACAGGGGGGGGGGGGGCGCAGTGGACTAGTGTGTTGGTGTTTGGATCAAGGGAGCACAGGTTCAAACCCCACTGCAGTCAGCATGTCGTTGTGTCCCTGAGACACTTCACCCCAAATTGCTCCTGTGGGGATTGCCCACAGTATTGAGTATGTAAGTCACTTTGGATAAAAGCGTCTAACAAGTGACATGTAATACAGTACAATCACTGAAGAGAAAAACCTCAGTCACATTAACGAACAGAGCAATGGAGTTCAGCTAAAAGTGGGTCAAAACTATGGATCCTAGAACTGAAAACTCCCTCTAAATGTTTAAAAGCAAATTAAAAACCTATCTTTTTAATATGGCTTTTAATTTCTTACTATCATGTTGTCCATGTTTTACTGTATTTTTTCTGTTTTGCTTTTATTTTACATTTTTTATTCTCTTTTTTTTATTATCACTTATAGATGGTTTATCTTGTTCTGTATTAATTTTAATATTATTTTAATATTGTTGTTGTGTTTTCTGTAAAGCACTTTGGACTGCTTTGTGCATGAAAGGTGCTATACAAATAAAGTATATTATTATTATTATTATTATTATTATTAAAAGTAAGAACAATATGGAAACAAGACAAAAATAGAGTTTATAATAGAATTGATCCCCTTAGTCATGGGAGTACCTTTAAGTCACTTTAGCTGTGCCTCATTGATGGGATGCTATGGATTGAAAGTCTTGGTATGCTAACAACCAATGTCCTTCTCCTCCATACTAGAGGAACTGTGGATGCTGCTGCCGTTGTTGGAGCCGTCTGGGGACATGGAGGACAGCAGGGGATCACTCGGGGACATTGGCGACAGGGTGTCCCTTACCAAGTCCTTTATTTTACAGGCCCTGGAGGTTCCATAGGGCCCAGAGTCCCCGGAGTCTGAGGGAATATGGTCGAATGTAATGGTGCCGTTGTTGAGGTCCAGTGTGGTGGGAGGGGACATGTCAGGAGCCGAGCTGTGCAAATAGAGATCTGCGGGACACTCGCCGAGGGCAGGTTCCTGTTTAATGGATCGGCCCATCAAATCTGATGTGCAGACGGATGGGGATGGAACCACCGTGAGACCATGAGCTCGGGCCTGGATCTCCAACTCCTAGAGATAATCAAAACATTTAAACAAAGTTTAAATCTATACCTGCTCTGTTAGTGCTATAAGCTAAATGCTAGCATCGTTAAACTCAATCTGCAACCTTGTGTCTTGAAAAATACGTTCCTATGCAGGGTTCGAGTTATAAACTGAGCTCTATGGGGGTCTTTGAAACTAGCACGCACGCACGCACGCACGCACGCACACGCACACACACACACACACACACAATAAAAAAAAAATCGCTAGGCCATCGGGAAACCTCCCGGCCCTCCCGATGGCCAGTCCGGGCCTGCCAGCAGCCCTCCACTTGCTACAAACTTAAATATGAAAACATAGCCGTGGGAACATGTTTCAAATGGGGGGTGCTGTGGGGATGACACCAGGGCCGGTTCTGACCAATTTGCTGCCCTAGGCAAGATTTTTGCTGGTTCAATTATATCTTATTTTATCAGTTAACATTTATTTATTCATCCATATTTTTTAATCTCTCCAGTTTTAAAGGATATTGTTGGTTTACTGTCCTATAGTATACATGTGCCAAGAGCAAGGACTGTCTTAGGTAAGACAGCTTTTATGCTTGCTTGGAACAATCTTCAGCAAGAATTGAAACTGAGCAATCTCATTCCTCTGCATGTTTTTAAAGCTAGGCTAAATGAAATGCTTGTTGATACTATGGGCACTTGTAAATGTCTATAACTATGTAAATGTATCTTGTAAATATAATGTATGATGTCCTTTATTGTTTTATGTTTCATGTGGAACCTCCAAAGTAACTTCCTGAAATGTAATTGTCTGCGGTGATTCTACGGAGTCCCCAAAGGCCCAAAATTGTGCACACAAAACATATTTTCGGCTGCCCGGGCCTAAGGAAGTAGCTCTACTTATGAAATCTCTGTTAGTTTAAACTCCCACTTCACTACTTTACATTCAAAACAAATAGCTTATAAAATGTGGCACGGCATTATTGATAAAGCTACATATTAGTCTATAAAATAGTTACATCATACTTATCTTAACCAGCAACACCAATAAAATACTGCTACACATAAATGCATTGCAAATAATCATCAGTTTTTATTCAATGCATATAGAGGCAACTGAACCACACATCAACATTTCATCCATGCATTTCTTCACTTGTCAGTTGTTGTTCAAGCTCTCAAACAAACAAGCGGGCAGTACATCACATCGGCTCTTTTTCTGCTACTTTGACAACATGGTTGCAACCGGTTTTCGTGCTGTGATGCCAATTTTCATTTTTTTCTATAGTGAGTTGATGATTTCATAAACTAAGAGTGAGGTACATTTTCGCCTCGCAAATTTTCCATCCAAATGAAGCAACATTTCTAAATCATTTTCAGACAAATTTGACTACACATGTTAGTGTTGTTCAATCTTATTGTCTTATATTTGTGTACAGCACTTTGAATTGCTTTGTGTTGAAAGGTGCTCTATAAATAAACTTGCCTCGCCTTGCCTAGTGATGACTCACAATCTACTAGGATTAATAAATGTCCAAAGTGTCTATTACGTTAGTAGGAAATCCAACCTAGAGCAACTGAGCATTGGAATAAAACATGTTGTTTCATAAGGCCCAATGAGAACAAACACATCTAAACGGGAAAGTGTAAAAACATGTTGAATCATGAAACATCTGCTAGAACAAGACACACCAAGTTTTTGTTTTTCTAAAAACAAAACAATGAGGTAGATACTAGCTGTCATTTTTTTTAAGGAGGGGCAGCTTGGGCGTATTGTTGTACATAGCCGTGGGAACATGTTTCAAATGGGGGGTGCTGTGGGGATGACACCAGGGCCGGTTCTGACCCATTTGCTGCCCTAGGCAAGATTTTTGCTGGTTCATTTATATCTTATTTTACCAGTTAACATTTATTTATTTATCCATATTTTTTAATCTCTCCAGTTTTAAAGGATATTGTTGGTTTACTGTCCTATAGTATACATTGGAATGATTTCAAACCTGTTTTTATTTATCCTAATAATTATAAAGGTGTGCCTTGTGATCAAACCGTTTGAGACCCACTGAGATAACTTAGACTAAAGTGAACTATCTAAACACTCAGAGTCCTTTACCTCACTGAGCCTCTCAGGGCACATGGAAAATGTAACCGGGGTGAAAAGGGTGTTACCTTTACTTAATTATGAATGTGAACATCAAGGCCGAAAATTCGTTTTTTTTTGTATTATATTTGTATTATATTTCCATTTAATCTTGTGGACGTGCAGATTCCCTGTCCTCCATCAGGGGGTGCTGCAGCACCCTCAGCACCCCTACTTACCACGGCCCTGTATGAAAAGGTTCAACTGCGCACACACACATCATCTCGGCTCGCGCAGCACGCTAACAGGCATAGATTGTGCAATAAAGTATTGCGCACCTTGGAGGTGCAGCGCAGGCATATTGTTATTCAAGAGATGCGTTGTTCTTTTGGAAAACATGTTTTTCTTTTCAATAATACTCATTACATTGACACATGCATTATTTGTGATTAAAATAATGGTTGTTGGTAATGTATTAGCGACCCCCACAGATGTATGATTTCACTGCGTCCGTGGGAGCTCAGACCCCTCCTTATGGGAGCTCAGCTCCCATTGGCTCCCACATAACTCGAACCCTGTTCCTATGCAACTCCCTTCAATTACGTTAAGAGAAAAGTGTTTCTTTGTAATTTTAGCAGCCAGGCAAATTTTGCAAATATGGCAGTAGCCATCGATCATCTTAAAGGTAGGGTAGGTAAGTTTGAGAAACCAGCTCGAGTGTGCTAGAATTTGAAAATACACAACCGGAGAAAATCTGCCACTTCCTTATAGAGCCCCTCCTCCAACACACACGAACGCGCACATGACCAATGAGGGCACGAGATAAGTTTGTGCCCCGATGGAAGGCTGACAGGCAGGTAGGCCATCCAGTTATTTTAGCCGGGCCGGCTAAAATGATTGGTCGTGCTTTTTACAGCACTACGGCTTCCACAGATTACATTTTGTTATGGATTTTTTGTCAAAGCACTTAAGATATTCATTGCTATCGGGATGTTAAGAGCATTCCATGGAATATAACAAAAAGTGTATCTCGAGCCGGTTTCTCAAACTTACCTACCCTACCTTTAAGATAAGATATACTTTATTGATCCCAAGTTGGGAAATGTTTTTGTTACAGCAGCATGTACTACTTTGTAAGTCAGAGGATAACCTGGTATTTTTACTCCTCTACATTTATTTTAGTTACTTTGCAGATTCTGATTAATGATGTGAAATATAAACAACCCTTAAATCAGACTTTAGTTACACCTGAGTCAAATTCAGGGAAGGTGATTGTCAAGAGCCAAAATAAACTATGCAATATATTAGACGTTAAGTACTTTGTCAGACTCAATATTTATCTGTGGATACCCCCAACGTCTTTTTCTTATTCAAAAGAAGACCTTAACTTAAAGTATTCTTCAATGTTTAAATAAAGCCTTATTAGTTTGTCTGTTTTGCACATCCTCCTATTAATATCTTTGGACGTCAGTAATATCTTTAAAAACTACAAGTCCTTTTCTATCAGCTGTGCACCGTTATGGTGTAAATACAGCCTATCTACCAATTGGATCAAATATAAAAGTCAGCCGAATTAGTGTTGATACTGCAAGGAGACGTATTGTGTGAAAAGAAATCGAAGATGTTGTTTAATTGCTGATATATTTATGATCCACGTCACGTATTCAGTTTCAGCGGCATTTCTTCCAGTTTGTCCAGAAGTCTTCTCATCAGGGCTCTATAAATAGAGAACTACGGCAGATGTGTAATATTTAATGCAGCCGAACCGTGTATTACAATGCCGTTATGTGATGGCCTCCAAAGAGAAAAGCAAGAACACTCGGAATAAAGTATTATTATTTTTTTTTTTATGCTTTCCGATTTCTTATCGCATAAACACCATATCCCGACGTGCATTGCGGCTAAAACATCCAGGATTATGGGTAGTTCGATGTTTTAGCCTATCAAAACCTCTGAAAAAAGAAATGTGTCTCTCAGAATCTAAAGGGAAAAACCTAAGGGAAAAACACAAAAGCATTGTACACAATTTAAACCAATTAATGTTGTGTAATTAACAAGGATAAACTGATGTTTTTAGTGGATGAGTACTGCAGATATAGCTTTAAAATCATTTGACAGTGGGGGGAATACGGTTTTATTATGAAAACTTCGAGACCGGAAATACTGTTTTCACCCCGTGAGGGTTGACGCTAACTTTACATGGAAGCTGCCGCATATACACGTTCTCCTGGCGAAACCTCAAATCATCTTCGTAATATCTATCAAACTATAGATCCTACACATCCACTGGACGTGGATTTTAAAAGTACAATTTACACTTCTCGCTAGAAATCGAATCAAAAAGACTCTAGTTGAGCGAAGACGGAGGTTCAACATCAACGATCGCATCAAAGAACTGGGAACCTTGATACCCAAGTCAAATGATCCGTAAGTATTTTGTTAAATAAATGTTGGATCATGGATACATTTATCTATTCGTCTATTCATGAACTTTATTTTTAACATAATCCTTAAACTTTGATAGCTTAAAGAGTCCTGTGCTCTTTAGGTCAGCCGGTCAGCTGACTGACTGTAGACCTTTGTCTCCTGTTTACCCCAGAGACATGAGATGGAATAAGGGCACTATTCTTTTAATTACCAAAACTATCCTACAATTTAGGATTTTACAGAGAGGGTTATTTGTGAATAAACGACCCTCTGTAACGTTTGCAGTCAACGGGAGAACTAGAGGTCGAAAACTTTAAAACGTGATTATAGGTCGTACTAAGCGCTTGAACAAACGACCTATTTGGTCGTAATAAGGGCCTGAACAATCGTCCTATTTGGTCGTATGAGTTGGAGGACTTGTTGAATTTTAGTGAATTACAGTCACAGTTTCAATTAGGTGTTTAAAGTTCTATATCGAAACATAACACAATAAAACTACTGGGTTAGGATTAGTACAATATCATTATTTAGCTGCAAATAAGTGCTAAGTAAAATTGATGTAACTTTTCCATATATATACATATGTATATTTGCCTATACTGTATATAGTTTGGGGACTTTGGTCAGAAACTTGATGTGAACCGGTATAATGTTTACCATGTCTACTATCTATAGGGAGGCGTGTGGAGCAGTGGAATAGTGCGTTGGTGTTCAGATCAGGGGAGCACAGGTTCAAACCCCACTGCAGCAAGCATGTCGTTGTGTCCCTGGGCAAGACACTTCACCCCAAATTGCTCCTGTGGGGATTGCCCACAGTATTGAGTATGTAAGTCGCTTTGGATAAAAGCGTCTAACAAGTGACATGTAATGTAATGTACTATCTTAGTTTGGTGTTTATTTGTAAGCAGTAAACTAGCATATAACAAATGCTAACTGCTACCATTAGCCCCTGGTTGATGTAACGAGAAATACATTCCCTCATATGCCAATACTGTTTGTACAAGTGAGGTAGCGTGCATCCCTGGCCATAGTTTCCTTGAAACCAAGTGTTCTTTTCCAAAAGACGGTTGGCCTACCTGTATACGAAGCAAAAGATGGCGATTCGCATGCTCCAGCTTCCTCTGTCTGCACTCGAGCTCTTTGGCTCTCTGCTGCTCCCGCTGTAGCCTCCTGATATAGTCCACTGATGCTTTGAGAATAGTGCCCTTATTCCATCTCATGTCTCTGGGGTAAACAGGAGACAAAGGTCTACAGTCAGAGTCAGCTGACCGGCTGACCTAAAGAGCACAGGACTCTTTAAGCTATCAAAGTTTAAGGAGCATGTTAAAAATAATGTTCATGAATAGACGAATAGATAAATGTATCCATGATCCAACATTTATTTAAACAAAATACTTACGGATCATTTGACTTGGGTATCAAGGTTCCCAGTTCTTTGATGCGATCGTTGATGTTGAACCTCCGTCTTCGCTCAACTAGAGTTTTTCAAAAATAAAAAACTGTTACTACAGGAGCCTTAGTAAAGAAGTCTTTGAAAGCTTAATTACTGGTCATACAATTAAAGAACACAAATTAAATGCATAAAAAAAAGAAAAAAGATTTCTTTAATTATCCTACAATAATTGGAAATCCAATTTTTTTTAAATGTAAGCTTAATTGACACACAATTACATCTGTAAATATTGCAAAAAGCATTTAAAAAATGATTTAAATTCCAGATGATTCTAATCTGATCGACTCACTCAAGTTGTGGTTGTCTTTCTTCTGTCTCTCTTTGGCTAGAGCACGGACTTCAGCCTCTGTGAAGCGAAGAGAAACATGAATGTGAGTGCTCTGACAAATCATAATTGTTTAATTAAATCAGTGATAAGCCAGTTGAGTAGCACTTGAAATGTTTTGACTCTATGAAACCTGATGTACTTATATGATTCTGTTTTCTTCAAGTTTGTATCTTCTTGGTCGAATGCACTTATTGTAAGTCGCTTTGGATAAAAGCGTCAGCTAAATGCAATGTAATGTAATGTAATGTAATGATAAGGCTCTAAGTCTATGAAATGAATGTAATTACAAGTTTCACACCATGCACAGTATATCTCTTACTTTATCAACTAGAACATTAGATGTAATGCTGGATAACTACAGCCAATAAGAAATCGAAATCATGTTTATTATCCGCACAGTTGATTTGTATTGTTTAGTTATACACAAAACACATTTTCTGAACATCAAATTGAAAACAGAATTATTAGTTTGCAAAACATAATTTCACTTTCTTCATTTTGCATCCCTTACCTACTGGGAAGCCTTCTTGCCTTTGGTAGTTTTCATACATGCCACAGGTGTCAGACTTGTCCAGAACTTGCTTCATGGCAGGAGCTGGGGTAATTATTTGGCAAAAGATCTACTTAGTATATTTCCAAATTGTCAATATTGACATTGATCTTAAGTCATGCTTTAACTTTTTACATTCTATATGAAATGTGTTGATACAACCCTTGATTATGATTAAGTCACAAGTAAAAATAATTGACATTATATATTACAGTATCAGAACTTAGACAAAAATAACTTACAAAATGTTTTCCGTGTACACTTAAATCAGATCTAACCACAAGATTAAGTAAGGTTATATTTCCTGAGAGTCAATTCAAGTTGTATTAAACAGACACATTTATTTGTACACAACTGGCCAATAGAATTCAAGCTAAGTGATATCTCAACACGGTAAATTAGCTGTCAAAATAATAAAGAAAGAATGATGTGTCTCAGTAATTTACTTGAGTATTCCCTCTTGATGTCGGATTGACAGGAGTTGCTGATGCCGAGGCCGGGCAGTGGAAGTCCTTGATTGCCGTACACATCGAGAAGGTTTCCAGACACAGGGAGCTTCAGAATATGAAAGAAATGTAATTATAATGCAAAAATAAAAGGAAAACATTGTATGTCTTTCAATTCAATTCAACAGTATCAACAGTGCTACAGAGACTCCAAATGCCTCCCTTTACTGTACCATCCTACTTACAAAAAAAATCTATTATTTTTCTTTAAATATTACCTGATTGTTCATTTGCATTCCTGGATCCATAAGTCCAAGAACCTCTTCATTGTAGCTTGTCTCCAAGCTAATAATATCATCAATGACATCATCCATCTGTATGGCAAAAAAGCACATCAATAATCACTGTACTGTTTATTAGTGCTGCAGCTAATTGAATATTATCAGGGCAATCTTTCACAAGTGGTTACAAGCACTACAATTGGCACATATACTCCATGGAGGTTACTCTTTTGAAAAAGCACGTTAGCCACTCAAAAATCCAAGATGGTCGCCATTTTTCACACTCTATGGACAATCTTGCACTAATGTACATTCTCAAATATTGAAGTGACTGTTATTTTGTATATATTGATTGTTGTGTTTTTATTTAGGTCTTAATGTGCACATGTAAAAATGTGTCTTTGATTATGTGTATATATATACATATTTGCACACATATTTTTATATACATTTGTTTTAGATTCGGGATTGTAGGAAACGGTATTTTGATCTCTCTGTCTGTACACACAAACTGGAAGATTGACAATAAAGTTGACTTGACTTTGACTTGATTTTGAAAATTGAGGTGGCTAACGGGCTTTTTTAAATGGCCCCAGAGGGATAAACATTGACATGTTGATGCTTGTAACCACTTGTCAAAGATCGTACAGATATCTGCAGCACTAAAGGTTTCTCAATGTACTGAAAGGGTTTAGTAATGAGCGGGCATACCTCTTTCTCACAGTTGGAGCTGAGGGTGAGCAGGGCCATGGGGCTGTTGGGGGCGCTGCTGCCGAGCCCGGGAGGCATGCCGTGCTCGGGGGGCTGGCCGGGGCACTGACCCCCCGCCTTACCACCCAGTGAGGTGGAGAGGTACTGCCTCACCTGCTGCCTCTGGGCCTGCTGGATGTGGTACTTGGTGGGATTATCCAAGTGGGACTGCACCTAATATGGGCAAGACGTAAAAAAAGAAAATTCAACCTGGGGACTTTTGGATTCTTTTTTTTTAACTTTGTATATTGTTTTTTTTCAACAGCATACAGTTATTCTATCAGAGCATGTATCAAAAGTAGGCGAACAAATGCACTTTATAGAAAAATAGGTAGAGTAACTATTTGGATTCTCTTTTTATGTGTAACATTTGCTTTTAGACTTGTAGATAGGAAGAAACAAGAAATAATAGCAAAAATGTCTTTCAAAATAGGTCATTTAAAGAAAGCATAGAGAAATTATGACAACAGTACAATTCAAATAAATGAAACTGGTACATTTAGTGGAATTTTAGATTTAGTGTCATGCTTGATGTCTTCAAAATCCTTTGCTTATCTCACAAAGTAACGACAAGGAGTCAAGTTGTTCTGTGTTGAAGTTATTTTACGATGTAGATCAATGGTCCTCATTTCGAAAAGCCAACTTTTCTGATGGTAGGCCCTTCTTTGTTTCAGAATGTAGTGTAATTGTGTTTAAACCAAACACCTCCCTGCATAACAGTTCAAATATAGCAGCGCAGATTATTTTGACAGCGTCATTCACGCTGCCAATGGCCGATTTTATATCTACACCCATTACAAAAACAGAGAGGACACTGTTGAGCAATGCAGTTGAGTCACATGATCTATATTAAACTGTATGCAGCTCCTCAACAACTCAACAATATGAGAAAACATAACCATTTTAGCTTTTGTTAGATTTTCTGCTATACTGTTTAGGTCCCGTAGCATCAACTGTTCTGAAATGTGTTAACAAAGATAGATAACAGTTGAATAGGGGAAATGACTTTAACAGTACATGCTGTGAAAATTATTACTATAACCATCACAAGAACAGTTATTAAATGTAATATTTATCATCTAACTCTGTTTCAGTCAATAAGTCCAATGTTGTTTTTTGGAATAATATTCAAGAAAAAATAAATCTCACCTGATAGTGGCTGTATTCAAGCATTTCCAACATGTTTTTTGAGTAGTAATCTATAAAAAATAAATTCACGTGCAATATATAATCCCTTTGTCTTGCTAGCTTGTTAGACTGTACTGTTGACAGTGAGCTAGCCTGCGCAAATCTGAGAGAAGTCACTTGTCCTGCTTAATTTATCCAGGGTTAACGGCTCATCAGTTATGCAAGTTAAGAAATGGATGACGACACTCAGACTCATCCTCCCACTGCTGTGTTGTTCCAGTTTAACTATACATTTATGTCTTTATAGAGCCCTTTTGACGTCACCACCTCACAAAGGAGTCTTTTTATTAATTGGCCAGTAGCCTGCGACTTGAAGTTAGCTTAAGGCAAACTAACGTTTAATCTTTAGTTCCGCTCATCTAGTATAAAACATTATTTGTTCTGAGCAACAGGAACACAATTGATGCCTTTGTCCCACGTCAATCTAAGCATATGAAATTGTGAATTCATTATGAACTTTTTGGGACTGGATGTTACATCTAACCGTCACATTTGTTATACAGTCAGATTTGTTATACAGTCAGATTTGTAGGGTAAAGAAGGTGAAGCGCTTCAATTTCAGGGTTAATGGTCAAGCATAGCAATTGCGCATTTTGATAAGCTTTTGTCCAGCATGGTACCAATCTTTCTGTACAAAAAATCCATCAAAATCCATCCTGGTTTTAATAGAGCAGCAATCCAATAGAGTTTCTTTATAAAGTTTAAGCTTTATTTTTGTGAACCAGTTGATCATGGTGCCTGGCTAGAGAAACATGGTGTAACCATAAAGTAGCACTGTTGGAAACGTGTGTGACTCTCAGATGGTTCCCTTTCAACAGCAGTTTAATATGCACAATGACAAGCAAGAAATCAGATCAGTTTCTTTCAACAAAATCCATTGTGCCAAAAAAAGCACCTATACTTGGATGGCAAGTAATGGCATCTTAAATAAAGCCTGCTTGGGAACATATATAAGTTTAATGGTGCAATGTGAAGAGACGTTTAATGCTACAAGGAAAAGAGAACAGGACATTCGGCATGCAATAATAGCTCCATGTGTCTTGGCATAAAAGGGTCTAACAACTCAGAATCAAAGGGCAAAATGTAATAGTTCTCATTATATGTTGAATTTCCTGATAAACTTGACCCTTTTTTGCTTTGCCTTGCTTCCAAAATGGAGTGTTACCCTTTATTGATAATAGCTCCTTATTGGAAAGTGATTGAGTTGGCGTTTGTGATGCACCACTAAAAGATGCATTTTTAAACCGCCTTCCTTTGATAATGAAATGTTATCTCTGCTTGCCATGAGCAGGACTTTGCAATGGTGAATGCAGCTAGGTGGTCCTGTTTCTTTGGTTTCCTCCCCCTGCTTGCATTAGTCTCTTCTGGCTTGGTAACATACAGATATTATCTCATTGGTCACGCTTTTTAAGGTCAGCGGCAATCGAGGTCAAAGAGGAAATAATTTCAACTTTTAGCGTAGCAATTTTGCTCCCTCAATAGGAAACAATGGCAAAGAGGTTTTACCGTTGATCATGTGAAAGCAGCTTAAGGCGAAGAACACATTACATTACATTACATGTCTACACTTGTTAGACGCTTTTATCCAAAGCGACTTACATACTCAATACTGTGGGCAATCCCCACAGGAGCAATTTGCGGTGAAGTGTCTTGCCCAGGGACACAACGACATGCTGACTGCAGTGGGGTTTGAACCTGTTGATCCGAACACCAACGCACAACCCACTGCACCACACGCCTCCCACAGAGGACACAGAGTTGTTGTACCCATTGTGTGGTAGTAAAATCAGCGTTAACTATGGGTAATCAGCAGCCACTCTTTTACAATTTTCCTATCTCTAAAAAAAGTTCCAAATGTCATAATAAGTAATGACGTGTCGGCGTAACAAGAAATTAAAAGAGCAAGCAAACCAATTATACAATTTCAATGTTGTACTTCCAGTCAGCTGTTTGTTTTATGTTAACTTTAGACAGAATGAGTAGACCATGGTTCAACTATTTTATCAAAGATACGTTATTTTGCTATTACAAGAATAAAACGTATGAACTTCTGATAAAGCTTAGTTCGTACCGTAAATCCAATCAGTAAATAAGTTATTTAAACGGTTCTGAAGTTCCTATTTCTTTTGTCTCGCACACACACATAATTATTGCTAATGTAAAAGCTAATTCTGAGTTCATTAAGGTTTTACAGCAACACACAAGTCTGAGTTTGATAGAAATGTAGATAAGATGTACGGACTGAACTTAAATAACTTTTGAGTACAAGTTGCATTTAATTGAAATCAATATCATCTGCGTTTATTTCAATTTTTTATGTGGGGCATTTCATTCATAATGTCTCAAAGCAACACTGGATACTTTGTTTGATGCTTTTGCACCACCAACACAATGTTTGTAGTTTACAGCCTGTGCTCGACAGAGTGATAACATCAACGTCACGCCCAAATCTTCCAAAAATGTGGACTACGGGATGTCACTGTTGAGTATGCCCCAGAAGTTCATATCATTAAAGCTCTGAACTGAAAGAACATTCACGTTTTTTTTAGGGGAAACCATTCATTTCCCCACTTTACATTGATGATGATGTGAAACTGTAACAGCAAAGAACACACAGTATAGAAAAAGTCAATGCACCAACTTGAAAGATGATATAATCACGATGAAAGTGTGAATCAAACTTTTATTCAAGGAATTGAGTGTCTTCTCAGGAGCCTCACATGTGATGAACCACTATCATACGTAAGGCTAATTAATGCAAACGTCTGCTATCGTGTCTCGTGTAAGGCCGCCGGAAAACACTACATTGCGTCTTTCTGTGGATTCATGGAAATTCATTTGGAGCTGGAGAGGTGAACACAAACACAGGGAAATAGCCCTCTGGCTGGACGTAGCCTTACACGATAAAACAGAGAAAGCATTCTTTGTAAATTCATAGTAGAGTGTTTCTTTGTCTCCCCTCTGCACTGTGGCCTTTTCCTTCAGCCAAACCTTTGGGTTTTGAAGGAACTATCAACAAGGAATGTATTTCATTCATCCCTACAGCAAACCAAGCTTTCACATTATTCATAGACTCTTTGTGAGACAGAGGTTTATTACCTAGGAGAGCACATGGGTCTACGTTCTAGACGCCTTGAGGACCAGTAACATTTAAAGACATAGTCGTCACTCCTTGACCCCCGAAAAGAAACAGATCCATTCATATCTCTCAGCTAGTGTCTTTCTGCGTTGGTAACCAGCCACACTTGGGGGCATTTTGTAAAGGATGCTAAACATTGAGCTAAAACTTTAATGTGTGAGTCTTTGCACAGCATCAAAATATGTCAGGCATATGAGTGAAAGTATAAAGAAGAGGAAAATGAAAATACTCAAGTACCTCAAATCTGTACATATCTTGTCTCAAAATACTTTCACCTTTTTTTATTTTTGATGTATGATGATGTGTTGATATGTTTTTGTGTGAAAGTTTACATTTTGGGGTTACAGTGGAGTTGGAGTACATGAAAAAAGTCAGTGGAGCATATTTTTCGATTGACAATGGGTCCACTTTTAATTCATTAATCACCTAGTATGGATGGTGGGGGATGGGGGACAAAGACAGATCTTGACATGACAAAATAAAAAAGGGCAAACGAATACGAATCGCAACAATTAGGTTAGGGTTGGGGCTAAGGGGTTAGGGTTATACTGATGACTTTTTATCATTTAATCAGTAGGGCTGAAGTATAAAATTGAGTCAACTTAGCGTGGCATTAGGTACTTTAGAAATAGATATTTAAAATGGAATATTATTCAAAAACATTATATAACTCATCCTGAAGATATTTCCTTCAGTGAATCAAGCACTGACGTAAAATGTCGTGCTGAGCTTTTTAGTCTTACAGTTACAAATGACAAAACCTTGATCTGTAGGCCAGCTTCCCCTCATTTAAACTTGTTCTTTTAACGTTCAGAGGAAAACATCGAACGGGATAAACTGAACATGCTCAATTTATGCTGAATAATGTCCAAGCAATAGGGATCAAAGATTTAGATAAAACTTTTTAATATTAGGAATGGGAAGTTTTGTGGTTGTAATACTGTCCCATAGTTTTCCCCAACCCCAACCCTAGGACTCTAACAGCAGTGTTGTGAATTGTAACGACCTAAACCTTTCCTGAAGAAAAATGCATGGACCCAACCTTTTCTAAAACTTGCTGACACAAAAGTCCTTTAATTTTTTATATACTTTTAAGGTGATAGCGGGTTGATAATATGGATGTTGAAAAGTAGGATTTTATAATAAGAGCATTTGGAGATGAGTGCTGACTTTTAATCGCACTTTTGGTATAAAGAAACAAAACATTTATTGTTTAATTTGTTTAATCGGAGCAAATAATGGCATCTCCTATCACTCATTTGTTGGCCTTTAAGGTTTTAAAGAGTGACCTAATCATGTGGAAATATACATGTCTATGTAATCTGCATAGTCATGGTAAAAAAAATGGTTGGTTTTCATGATCTGATGAATTGGATGTTAAATGGAAGAGGCCCCGGAATGTAGCCTTGGGGAACTCCGAATGTCATTGTTGTACCCTAAGATACATGGGCAAGGAAGCATCCTCAATGTGGGTGGGACAATTTGACGGGGGGTGTGGGCAGGTGGTGGACGACCTAGCATCCTCTAGGGGGGTCCGGGGGCATGCTCCCCCGGGAAGATTTTGTTTTAAATGTTGAAGTTAAATACATCAATCTGCTGCACTTTGAGAGCAACATTAGGGACTAAATCTATGGATACATCTCTCAACAACACCCATGTGAAACAGTACTGTAAACAGACTTACTTTTTCTTTATGCATATTTTACAAATCACTCCCCTTTTAAACTGTATTTTTGTTTTACTGTCCTATAGTATGAGTTGGAATGATTTCATACCTGTTATTCTCTTATTTTGCATAATGATCATATAAAAGGTGTGCCTTGGAAATACTTGTTTACATGAGATAACTTAGACT